ACAACAAAAAGTAAGCAAAGGAAGACAATATTGATGGCCTTCTGAATTTGCTATTTTTCATACCCTGTGACAGGTTAAGCACTGCACTGAACTCTGTATTGTGCCATCAAATAAATCTGTCACTATGCTACTGTAGTTCACTGGTTGTTTCTTCTTCTTTCCTACAAAACAAAGTATATATTGATAAACTTACAGCACAAAGATTACATCTTCACAAATTATATAAAAACATTCACTTCTTGTACCTTTAAATTTAATATTAAACTTAAAAATGCTAGAACACTTCACAAGAGATGCTTTTTTTCATACTAGAATAAGATTGTTGAGAATACTTCAGATATACATTTTTGTATAGGTAAAAAGGTAAAGTCTGCATACGAGCCAAGTGGCTCATCAGGCTGGAGCTTATCTCAGTTTCAGTAGCATGAAGCAATTGAGAGTATTTCTACTCCCCTCTGGATGGGAAGCTAGTCCATCACTGGGTTACCCCCCCAGCATTAAATTTGCCGCTACCCATTTATACACCTGGGTGGAGAGAGACACTGTGAAAGTAGTGTCTTGCCCAAGAACACAACACAATGTCCCCGGACAGGACTAGGCTCCGGGATTAAGTGCACTAACCATGAGGCCACTGCGCCTCCCAATACACTTTTGTGTAGTCCGATACAATCCTTACTTGTTTCAGCCTTTGGCTGCTTCTTGGTTCTATCTGTCTGCTTCAGCTTCTCCTTTGTATTGTGATCGACAGGTTTTTCTTCCTTGATCAGTGCCGCATTTTCAGTTTCCATATCCTCATCAACCTGCTCATGCTGCTCTGCTTCACCGTCACTCATTGGCTCATCCTCAACTGACACTGTCACGTCATTGTGATCAACAGGATCTTCTTTGGTTTTCCTTCGTTTGGCTTTGGTAGCTCCTTCAGGTTTTCCCTCTGGGTTTGCCTGCTCTTCAGTTGAGTTAACGTGAAAAGGTTTGTCATTGGTGGCATCTTCACCAATGTCTGAGTACATGTCCACATCACTGTCTCCTACAGCAAGTTACCCACCAGTTATAATTTTGATAAATATATGGAGTGGGAAGTCTCAATGTCACTAAACCTTTCAATCCCAATCTCAACATATCAATTCTCCTGATTAATTTTCATATATTTCTTCTAATACCATTTCTGAGAGTTATATAAGTGGCATTAAGAACTGTTTCCTTTGCATGACGATTATTTCTTAGTTTATTACTGTCCTCCCCCTTGTGTCGTACCAGTCTTCTTGACAGAACATTTAACCACGCTAAGAAGAAATAAATAACTTGGGGATTCAATGATTCTAACTCTAAAAATATTTAAAAATATTTCTTAAGTTATGCCCAGCATCAGACTTTCATAGTCACTACTACTACTCCAGACTTTTTGTTAGATTGTCCTAGGTAACTTTAATTTATATGCCAGCATATAATTGCAATCATGTGTAGATAAAGACAATGTGAGAGTTAAGCATCCTCCCATTGCCACCAACAACTAAAATTCAAGAATATATTAATTAACAAAGATAATAACAAATTATTTTTCTTTTCTTTTCACCAATTTTCTACCTCTAGCCAGGGTTCCAGATAATATTTTAAGGCAGAGTGTCAATAGGGAATTCCGATGGATAAATTCCCACTGATCCCACCAAATCATTATAAATTTTCTTTAATTTGTTGGGTCATGTAGCTGATCTTGTCAGGTTTTTGACCAGAGACCCCTCACTTATCTGGAGCACTGCTCTAACAAACTGTAGATACATGGGTAATTATCTACATCCATACCATTTTGCAAGTTTTTGCTATGAGGGAGACTTGTCCCTCCCAACAGCCTCTTGTTGTGATGGTTTGGTTCGTCATCATCACTGTCAGATGAATCTGAATCCTCTGCCAGTAATGGCACAGGCTGCTTCAGCTCCTCATGTAATTGATCCATGATACATCGCAGGAATTCCTGCGCATCCTGCCACAAACAAAACAAGAAACAGAAACACAGGAGACCTACATGTAAGCCATAGCATAAATTCAACAAATATAAAGCAATCACTGCTGATGTAAAGTCTGCATATGAGCCAAGGGGCCCACCAGGCTGGAGCTCATCCCGGTTTCTGTAGAATGAGGCGACTAGGAATATTTCTACTCCCTCCTGGATGGGATGCTAGTCCATCATGGGGCTACCCCCCCCTCCCCCCCAGCATTAAATCTGCCTGTACCCATTTGTACACCTGGGTGGAGAGAGGCACTGTGAGAGTTAAGTGTCTGGCCCAAGAACACAACACAATGTCTCCAGCCAGGGCTCGAACCTGGACCGCTCAATCCCGAGTCAAGCACACTAACCATGAGGCCTTCTACAAGCCTGTACAACTTAAGTCAGTTTCTTTTAAGATAACCACACATGCAACAACATTACAGTCTTATTTTTTGGTGAATAATTTCACCTTCTTTATTACGTTTTTCAGGTTGAAACCTTGGGAGAATTAACTGTATCAGTTCACTGGTGAAAAGCTATTGAACTGTTCTATGGCTGATCCCTGAACTGATTGGACCATAAATATTTATTTTAACAAATAAAAACTTAGGCTGCCAGTCCACAGGCAGCAATGACTGATCAATAGTAATTTTTTGAAGGACAATTTAAAGCCCCCACCAGGAAAAAGGTAAGAAAGTCAAAACAACCCATATCACCTTCACCTTTACCTATCTCTTTTATGACTAGTTATCACATATTGCCTCAAAACAACTCTTATGCTATGTGATAAACAGCTCTTGGGCTGCAATACCAGTTGTCAGTATTACTGTGGACTGATCAAGATGATTCTTACTGGCTGTGGAACTCAAGCCTACACAAAACAGCTCTCAAGATTAAGACTACAATAGATCACCGACTAGTAAATACCTGTTGTCCATAACCTCTGAACTGTGGATTGATCAACCGAACACTACGTAAGAGTTGGGAGGGCACAAAATACTTTGGTCTGAAAAGAGTAATAATTTTATATGTAATCATAAAGGGGGAAATTACATGAAATGAGCATATGAAAGAGTTACTGCCTGGAAACTAAGTCTCCTTTCATTAACAATGTTACATAGAATGAGGTACATTTAACTTCACTGGACTGACTCATTGTAAATATATATATTGTCTGAGAGGGACTATAGACTTTGAGCAAAAAAAGTGAACAACACTGCAACACTGTCTATGTAAGCAAGAACACTGCTCATATATCCATGGTTTTTCATCACTTCATCTCAGCCACCCGCAGTATACTCAAATTAGCAATATCAATTAAATTACAATTACATGACAGTTATGTACCTTTTTCGAGACCATAACTCATTGATTAGATGTGAATAGTTCCTAGAGACTGAGGAGTTCTTTGTTTCTTTTGCAAAACTACCACACTCCAAGAAATGCTGGGTGAGAGGTGGGCTGAAAAAAAGTGGATTACAGCAATCAGAAAAGGACATAATTATTTATTTTACAATTATAAAGTCTGATCCAAGCATGTGAGTGAAGTGCAGAGGTTTCATTAAGGTTTCAGTACGAAGGCAATTGGTTTTCACAGGCAGGCAAAACTTTTTAAACTAAACTTTGTTATAACAAAACTTTTCTTCCAGGTGGTAAAGCCAGGCAGGCCAAATTGTCTTCACCACCAGCCAAATCATCCTCACAGCTGGTCTGGTCAATTTGCCTGGTGCCCAAGTCTAATAACAGAACCCCTTGGTTGTGGTGAAGGTTTAAATAAAGATTGGATTAAAGAAGGATTGAGACTGGAGAACCTGAACTAAACACCTGATTACCTGAACAAATTTATTACGTAAACGTGTACACATGATCTGAAAAACACAACATTTTTGTAAGCACTGTCTGCAGTACACACAATCAAAAAAGAATAAATAACGTACCAGTTTGACAAAGACTGCAGAGCGGCATTCATATAGCAGGTATTTCCAATGTTTGACAAACCACATAAGCCTGAAGTGATATAAAACACCATTTGAGAATAGTTTCAGAGAGAAGCAACTCAGACTGAAAGCTAAACAAATTCCTGTGCTGTATATGAAACATTATTTGTTCTTACTGATTGCAAAAAGAGTCATAAACTTGAAAAAAAAATTGTAATTTTGCTTTCATTTGCAATTTTTAACTTATGTACCATTTTATAGCTACAGTCTACACTTATTAGCAGTGTATCTACTTCAAAGTAAATTAAATTAAAAATTATTTTTCATTCTTACTACAGTGGTTCTCATTAAAATAATAAAAAAAACATTTGTCACCTCGTGGTTTCAAGCCTTTCTCTAGTTCAAGAGCGTCTTCCATATCCAGAACCTCATGAGTCTAAATAAAAACAATGCAGCAATAATGATCTGATTAACAATTTTTACATGAGCGTGTGTTGGATA